CGAAAAATAAAATTTTTTCAAAAAAAATCTGAATCGGCCATTTTGTTCAGAATTCGACGCTGATTCCAAATATGTGACTTTCAATCGGAAATTTTTTGAAACGAAAAACCGACTTATCGATACTACTTTCTATCTCATAAATGTAATGATGTTGGACATGGATCACAAAGATATATTGATATTGTTTTGGACAGAGTTCAGATCTGCTTTCTTAATTTGTTGTCATGTCGTGCATGCTATATTCTTAAATTAATAATTATAAACATACAAATAACATAAAAGAAAAAAAATTCTTATTAAAAACATTAAAAGAAAATGATCGTATTTTAAAAAAACAAACAACATGTTCGTTTCACCGGTACGGTATATATAAAGTGAAATCCTTTTAAATGAACAGTATAGCATAGAGCAATGAACTGTGTGAAAAAGGTATTACAAATCTGTTACTTTGATTGGTGGCAAGAAATTTTGTTTGTAGGATAAGGACTGTTTTTCAGATTTTTGGGCGATTTCTTTGTATTTTTTCTCCTCTTGTTCTTTCTCGTCTTTTTCGAATACATTCGACGAATAAGATTCATTAAATCTTGATTTATTAATAAATTTTGATCTTTCATCGTTATAGTTAGGTAATGGTAACGGCATACGAAATACAGTTGATGATGGAAGATCATAAAATGGATTTACTAGGCAACTATTATCTGTTCCGTAGTATGCATCATAAATATGATCACCTTGACCAATTTGAAAATGATCTCCATTAGATTTACTCTCATTCTCATGTTGAATGATTCGATTAGACCAAGTACAGTCGTCATTATTGCTATTGACTTTTTTCCGGTCTATCGGTAATGCACCATTGATATATTTTTGCTCATGATCCAAAGTTTCATGTACGGATGATGGCCGATATTTTGATGTGCTCAATGATTCTTCATTGAGTGTGTTATAAGTTGTAGACATTTTTGTTTCATATAAAGGATTTATGGAGTGAAATGATGTAGCGAATGGTGTTGAATTTTTCATCTCAAGAATTGATGCTGGCGAACAACACGATGTACGTTGTAGAAGTAAGGGTGATTTAGATTCATCGTTTTGTATACAATTATTAAGAAATGGAATTAAACGTTTGCTGGACGATATAGATGTTGATGATGAACGACGAGCATTCAAATTTGTCGGAGGATGTTCAATTGTTGTTTCTCTAATATTTATGTTACTTTCATCTGACTTTGCTTTAGCAATATTATTTTTTAATATCGATTGTTCATCTGTATTAAAAATATTTTCTTTTGATTTTTTTACATTTTCATTTGATTTTATCAATGGTGGAGAATTCGTTTGAGAACGTGTTGTTGTTGAATGATTAGAATTTCGTCGTAAGCTCGATGTAGTTGATTGAAATCGATGATTTGAGCTGTTTATTTCTCCTAAACGATCTAAAACAAAATAAAAATTCTATTGTATGATAATATTCACAGACGAGCATTGTATAAACTTTTTTTATTTCTGAAATGTTCGAAACATCGTACATAATTTATCTATTCTTGTGCATGACACTATTCTCAAGATAAAATTAATTATTACCCAATGATCGAAATGCTTGTAAAGAATTTTTTGTCTCAATATCTTCAAGTGTTTTGACTGATAATGAATCTTGTTGATGTTGTATAATTGGTAGCGATGTTGCAGAAGATAATGATATTGAATCTGATGTTGGTAATAAAAAATTGAATTGATGTTGACTTGTTATTATTGGTAATTTACCATTTTTTTGATAATAATTTAATGTTTTAGTCATTTTTTCATAACTTTTATATAATTCATATCCGTATTGTACAAGACGTATTCCACTGATCCATCGATGGTAATCATACTGTGTATTGACACATAAATATTTAATATATTTTGTTGATTTTTTTTGAATTTGTGGATGTTTCAAGGCGAATCCATATTCAGTTGGTGCTTTATATTTTTCTATCCAATTAATACCATAATACAATTGTTCATTTGAATCGAGTTTAACTAAGCAAACTAAATCTTTTTTTGTTTTACCTTTTGGTATATAATAGATACCCGATTGTCTTAATACACAAGAATATTTTTTCCATATTTTACGGGATTTTTCTTTCATATACATCATACTTTCAATATCATCAGGAATTTGTATTGTTGATGAGCTTGATGAAATATAATCAGTTAAAAGAAATGTATCTTGAATTGTATTATTATTATTATTATTCTCATTGGTTTTGTTATTTTTCATTGTCTTTTTCCATTTTTGTTGTGTAGTAAAAAAAAATTTATCCGGTTCAATAAATAGAGCATATTTATGTTTATATTGTTGAAATCGAATACGATTCATTGTTTCTCGTGGCCAATATAAAATACCATCGTTAATTAAATTTTGATGATCTTCATAGATACGATACAAATTTAAATCTGGTATTTCTTCAATTAAACAATAATTAATTGTGGGTTTAAAATGATTTTTATTTAATAACATAATGATAATATCATAAACAGACATTGTCTCATCAATTAAAACACTTTTTGTTGAGTTATCATCATTATAAGTTTTAAGAAATAATTTTTTAATATTCGCTTCTTTCATCTTTTCAATAGCTTGACGAATTTTATCGTTTTTATTCATATTTTCACACGAAATCTAAAATAAAAATAAATAATGATAAGTGATGGATCTGGACAAATGAACAGTGAAAGAAAAAAAAGTCAATTTTTTCTTTTACTTACACTTGATGTGTTTGATATTTGACTACATGTTCTCGATGTTGACAATGCATGTTTTTGTTGTAAATGACTTAAAAATGGTAAAAAAATAGAATCCGTTGATTGTGATAGACCACTATCAGATAAATTATCTAATTCAACATCCTCTTCAATTGTTACTTCGTCATTTCGAGTTGGTGTAGGACAATCGTACAATTTCATTTCATTTGATGGCCGTTTAACGCTATTAGATCGAATCGATATATGTTGCTGACTTGTATGTACAAAATCGTCGTCAATGCCGCTACTTGTACTACTTCCACTATGATTTGATTCATGATGTTGAATTTGGTTGTAAATTTCAACATTATTTATTGTATTTGTTAGCGATAATAGAGCTTGATCGAGTTCATCAAATTCTTTAACGATACTTTTATTTGATTGTTTATTATCAATAATTGAATGATCAGAATTAAACGTTGTTTGTAACATTTTTGGCTTATTGTCATTGGCTAATTTCAATAATTGTTGTTGTTTTTCTGTTAAATGTAATCGTGTTTCTAATTCGGATAATTGTGATAGTAATGCATCAAGATCATTTACATTCACTGCTAGAATATAAAATGTTATTTTTTTAATACAGTAACAGTATCTGCTCTATAATTACTTGGTATGGCCAAAAAAAAGTGAAAAATATTTCATTTAAAATTTTATTTAAAGATTAATTTACACTGAGAAATAATAATGTTAAAATATTTAGTTTTATTTTCATTCAGTAAGAAATCTATTATTAGCAATTTTCCTAATAAATATTTTGCTTGACTTGTCTGCATAGCTTTCTTCTGATGAATACGTACATTTATTTAGAATATTTATTAATAAACTAGCTAACATTCATCTAGGATTTCACTCGATTCCTTGACGTTGTTGATGGAAAAATATTTTTAGAAAATTTTGAGATCCACTAAAATATTGAATATTTATATACCAGACGACATACTATAAGCCATGTGTATCAACGATTTCATTTTATGACAATATAAGTATCTTTTACAATGGTTTATGAAACTTCTTTTATGTTTAATTAATATCAAAACGTACGCACACACACACACACTCTTTTTGTGTTTATTATGACTCTAGCTTTTTATTGTATTCATCTACATATACCAGATCAGAAAAGTAACAGACCCTAAAATCTTATTTAATCAATCTTTCATTATTGTTTTTAAAATAATAATTTCGAATATACTTTGTTATGTGAACAGACAAACAAACTATTTATTTCGTAAGACCCTGACTTTCATCAAGAGAATAAACTTTTAATCATGTCAGAAAACATTTAGAGTGCTACAGCATGATATATTTTATGTTTCCTAAATGCAGACTAATTTTGAAGGTTTTTGTAGTCGTGCTGTATGTCACATTTGGTTGTCTGATAGCAAACATCTGATAAAATACTGTCTGTAATATCTATTTCACATTATAAACTGTTAAGTATATTCAAAAATTGACGCTGAAACAGAATCCTATAATATGTATGTGGCCAAATTGTTTCTAATATTATTCTAAACTAGACTAATCAAAGAAAAAATATTTTTTTTCCTTCTATCTACGAATATATTTTACACATCATAAGTCATGACTTCTCACTATTTTAAGATATAGGTAAACACTATTGTTGTTTTTTGAAATAAAAAAGTTTTTATCTGTCTATATATATATATAAGCTTGTACTGTCGAAATAATAGATAGTAATAGATGAGAATATGAATTCTTATCGATTAATACACAAGATGCATACATAAATAGGTGAGTATGCGCACAATTGATGGATGACGTTTCTATGCGTCATTCTTTTAAAAAATTTTACTATTCCGTCGATCGATCAATTGGCGGCACATATTATTCATTACTACTTTGAACAAAAACGTAAAAATTGTCTATTTAATCGGACACGCGCTAGACGATCTTTTAATTTATAATAACATATATCAATGAAATACTAGTCTTTTAGAGTATGGACAATTGAAAATAATAAAATAATAAAAAGCGAAAGAAAAAAAATATATATCGTCTCAATTCAATTTTAATATTATGAACACATATGTATATGTTATGAAATATAATGTATAAAGATTGATCGATTATAAAAAGTTTTCTTGCTCTTCATCTATGTATAATATGTTTTAGGGACGAGCTCATTTCAAAGTTCATCAACTGTATGCATGATTACAAGGTTCTTGTCAATCTTCATTTTTATTTCACTCCACACATTCACTTTAAGCGTTATCTCTTTCACACTTATCCTCTACAGTCGTTCAGTGTCAAGTAAAGATAAAATTTATTATTATCTAAGAGATCAAACATGTGTAGCGTATATATTTCTGCTGTATATGTAAATCAGCAAAAAAAAAAATAGTAATTGATACAAAAAATTAGAGAAGAAGAATTAGAATATCTACACGTCTCATAACTGAAACAAACTCTGCCATGTTAAAAGGTGTTTAGCAACAAAAAAAAAATATATATATATATCTATATAAAGTACTGTTAATTGATACGTGTAGAACTAGTCATCTAATAAAATATTTGTGATATAAACTGACAAACTAAACAAATTGAAGATGTATCATGCAATTTCCAGACATTTTATTTATCTACTTGATGAATTTAGATTACAAGAGCTGTATGTTATTGCAAATTATATAAGCCACATCTTATCATCTTTATTGGCTACGCCATCTTGGCTGTAATAATAATAACAGCTAATGTCTATACAGTAGTATATACGTAATATAAAGGATTTAGCATTTTTTGAGTTGGTAACTTCTTGACAAATGATGATGATGTAAACGGTTTTTTACACAAATAGTATAGATTGATCTCTCTCTCTCTCTAACAATAAGTTTTAAAAATCTCTCGCGAAAGTGAGATTCTTGAAGAGCTGTAGAAAATGATTACGAAAAATGGTCGTTGTGAAAAAGATAGCATGTTCTTTAAATAATCACCCAAATCGAATTTTTTTATCCATAACCGTTTCTACATAGCATCACTTTTCATGATCGACCATCCGAGAAAATAACTGAAATCATTTGTCATTTTGAATCTCTGCTTAGCTAAAAGCGTACAAACGTAAACGATTCATATATGGCTCGAAATCCACTTAAAATTTCAGAACGTGGTCAGATGAGTAGATTGAATACTTCGAATATTTGATGGTTGAATAGTTGATTTACGTTAGCTTTTACAAAAGTCTTTTAAACTTATCTTTCATAGAGATGTGTTAAATTCTTGGGTGTAAGTAAAATCATAAACTTTTGCTTTTTTTAAAATTATTCAAAAAAAAAAGAATTATGAACATTAGTTAAAGTAACTATTTATATGATTAGTTTGTCTCTACACATTTATTATAAGCCAACAAATCTTAAAATCTTCCTCATCTTGTTCAACACATACAGATTATAGTGTGTGAATATATACACCGTTTTTTTCTTTGAAATAAAGAACTTTTTTTTTCCTCTTTTTCATACATACAAAAGAAAAGAGATACAGTATGCGTGTTGAAATTATCGCTTCTTTTAGAGTTTAATTTTATAGATAAATAATGACTTTTCCAGTATGTATCTACGTATATGAACAGGGTGTATATATAAAATCTATTGTTTAAAGTTAAATTCGTTCTAAATCTTATAAAATGTCAGATCGATTTTGAAACTTTTTTAGAACATATATCTGTGAGAACAAGAACGTGCTTTGGTTTATATGTATTTAACAAAAAAATCTTACCGTTAGCATCTACGAATGAAAATTGTTTGACATCGATTAATTCATTATTGACCACGATTGAATGTTGACATTTTTTCTCAAGTGTACTAAGTTCATGATGAACTTCTTCAATCTCCTGAATAAAATATCAAATAACAGTAGTTATATCACAAAAGTACTATATATCACGTAGATAAGAAGAAATTGATCATTTTTGTGGACCTGTCAAGGACAGTGATTTCTAAAGATTCAAAAAACTATCGAAAAAGCTTATACAGTAACCAGTCAGTGGATGATTTGTAGATTATTTAATCTTCTAATTTATATGTTGTTAGCGGCTGTACACAGATGTCTATGTATATATAACATTAGTTATTTCAAGAAGAGTTCATTATTTTGATAAGTATAAAGACATAAATCTGTTTTATGATGATAGAAAAAAAAGAAAGTCAGGTTACTGTAGGGTTGATATACAAAAATGTGGCAACAGATTGCATCTCGTTTGTCTCATGTAATCACTTCTATTGATGAACCTCTTTATATCGACATTATCGAGACTAACCTAACTATCAATTTGTTATCAGACTATTAACAACAATTAAGAAAAGAATCTTCTTTCAACCATGATTATATCAATAGCACATAAAGATAGTTCATAAAACAATCTATTGAGCTATTATTTACGCATCTAGTGATTGCCATGGGAAAAGTTTAACTATACTATTTCAAATACAAAAAAATACAATGATATCGTTAAATGTAAACATGTCTTTCTATTAACTCACCCGTTTAAGCACGTTTAAATCTCCTAAACAATTGTCCGTCGATCGTCTGACTGTTCGTTCATCAGAATCAATGTTTCTATTATTATTATTATTCATATCATAATTATCATCTCTATCCGTTTCGCTTTCCCATTCGCCTTCCGATTCTTCCGATATACTGGATAAATACATCATTCGATAATACATATCAACTAATTTGTCTAATTTAAAAGTTAATCATTTTTCTCATGAGAATATCCATCGTTGTTGCTATTTTGATCTTTCGCGATCAATGAAACCTAAAACATGTAAATGTCAAAGATACACAAAATCCCATTAGATATTCAAACGATAAAAAGAATGTTCAGATTTTTGACGGTTGAAGGCTGTCAGTTTTGATTTACAATTGCAAATGTTCGTCTTTTTGTCTGTTTAACGAAAAGAGAAGAGAAAAAAAAGAGAAAGTCCATTAAGGTTAAGTTTACATATATTTAGATTAGTAATAACAGTAAGATTACTGAATTAAGCAACTACTCAATTGCCGTTATTTCACGTATCTAAAATTTGTTCAGTAAGTGGGAAAAAAAATTATGAATAAAAATATTTCTTGATGAATATTTAAAAATATATATGTGCAATATTACACAATCGGATATGGCAATTAAAACGTCAAAATAGCTATCTTTCCTTCACGCATGATATGTTCCGTAAAAGAACACAAGAGTATAAGAGTTTGAACAGTAAAATAATCAAGAAATTATACAAAAAAATGATTTCAGAGTCTAGTTCAGGCAATGTTGTTTTATGGAAAATCAAGGAAGACACGAGTAAATTTTCATATAGATAAAAATTCTGCGCGATTTACTTCGATTCATTAAAATTTTTACGTGACAAATTTTACATATCTGAACTAGTTTCAATTTCTTGAACTTTTTGAATTTGTATCAAATGAAATTTAATTTATGTCTTTATGATTATGTCTCGTGCTTATTCAAAAAAAATATGTGGGAGGACTTTTCTATTGTCTTACCTGCTTCATTTTTTTTCTTCTTCTCTAATGCAAACAAAAACAGCTTCATTATTTAAATACTGAACAATAGTGTGAGCATTAAATAACATTAATTTTTTTGTTCGAAAAGAAACAGATATAGGCAAACACGATTATACTAAAATAATAGTCAAGGAAAAGAGTCTTGCTTTGTTCAGGTCCTTTTCTTTTCTACACGATCAACAAAACAAAAAAAAAAAAAAAAGAAAGGTTTATCTGTTCAATTTATTTATATACATACTCCTATTATCATATGTATCTTTCTTTCTTTCGACAGCTTTCGTTCTTCTTTACACAAATATTATCATCGATAACATAACAGTAACAACATGTTCATGTTCAGTATATGCAATTGTTTATAAAACAAATCAACGCGACCACTTTTACGAAATATTACACTACTGGCTCTTTTCTTCTTTGAGTTTTTTTCTATACAATATTATGAAAACTGACCTATCAAATAAATGGGAGAAAAATGCTTTAAGAACTGTTGAAATATAAAATCATGAAAGAACTTTTCATTTGAAATCCAATACATTAAAAGAAAAAAATAATCTGAAAAATTGGATCCACTCTGTTGTATTTCTAAACTTTTATTGATACTTTTCCTTTCTTATCGATTAAAAACTCAAATTTTCTTAGAGTAGTAGAAGAGTTTCATCGACTGATTATTTATTTATTTACTTTCTTACTGAATGATTGTGTGTATTTAAGAATCAACTGTTCTCTGAAAATAGTATTCAACATATCAACCTATGAAGTCAATAAATATATTCAAAATAATTTAAAAATTTATATATAAAAACATTTATTACTCTACGATTAAACATGAGAAAAATTTTATGAACCTTCATCATTTCTAATCGTTAATTTTAAATATATTCATTTAATCAAAGTTCACAATATCATTTTCACCTATACAGTCAATATTTTTGATGAGTTTATTTCTATCTACAATGTTTGACATAATCTTCAATATTAATGTTGAGGATTAGTTCATGTAATTATATTAATGAAAGTAGTCTCTATCTCTCTTACCTTTATTATCATGCATCGATCGATTTTTTGATCTTCAAACAATACCAACTTGATTGTATTTAAATTATTTTTTGAAGACTATTATTTTTTTTTTTTATGTATGTACCAGAAGAAATGAGCAAATAATTCTACTATACACATATATTGTACAATTGTATGTGAGTTTGTACGTGTATGTTTGTCGCACAAGTGTGTCCGAAATACTTTTCTTTTTTTTTTCTTTCTCTTATATATATGTGTGTGTGTATGTGTATGTGTATGTGTATAAAATACGTAATGTTCTCTTGAACGCAATGGTGAGTATCTACGAGACAAGAGAAAGAGAAAGAAAGAAGAGAACAAACTCATTCATTGTTAAATCTCGTTTTTTATCAATATAACTAGTAAACTAAAATAACATGAATGAATTGACCTGCATGCCAGATAGTTTCTTGATAACATTTTTTATCCTTGAACTCACCATATCTCTATTAGAATAAAATAAAAACGGATGCCTTATTAAATGTAACAATGAATAATAAAAAGAAAAACAAAAAAAAGAGATAAAGAACAATAATTATTCGTGATTTAAATTTTAAATAATACCCTAATAATAATGATATGGCAATTATCGCAATATGTGGGACATAATCTAGATCATAGTAAGGTAGTAATATGTCTACAACTCATCTAAGATTTTATCGATTAATAGATGAATGGCGTGTGCAAACACTATTGATAATACACGATAATTATTATTCGCATATTCACCATAATTGTAAATGAGTACGTTAATCAAAATTAGATTTATACTCAAAATGATCTATGACAAAATGAAGGTCTACTAACATATTTTTTTCTAACAAATTTTTATAAAAATAATCTCTCATTTACTGAAATGGATAGTAAAATCATGATTGAAATTTAGACATTTGAAAAGATTAAATAAAATGAACTAGAAATTCTCAAAGTTACCTAAACAATTCGATAATTATTTGTTCAATTATATTAAAAGAAAACTATTTTTACAAATGAAAAAGTTGACTGTAAGATATGTTTGTTCTACTTTTTTTCACTTCTTTTTATATTGCTCATGGCTAACTTTTGACCTGTTTTGTCTTTTGTCTTTTCACGAATCTAATTAATGGTTTCTTTTTTCATGGAATTGTAATTTTTTCTTTCATTTATTTATCGTTGTTTTATGTTATTTAGAATGTGCTAAAAAGCAAAAAGAGGTCTATGACTAATAGTTTGAGTTATTTTCTTCACATATTCAGAAAGTATTTTATTCGTCTCAAAATTCGTGTCAAAACTTCAAGAAATCATTAACACAGAGAATATTGTCTGAGATTGAGCAGATTTTAATCGTTAAATCAACGCGTTTTTTCTCTAAAATATGAGAGAATGTTCTTGTCTTTCTTTATAATCTCTGATAAAATTGATTGGTCATGAACAGGTCATAATGGTCAATTATTAAATGGAAAAAAAGTCATTCCATAGCGTTCTATCGTCAATCTTTTCTTCTTCTTTTTTTTTTTTGACTTAAAAGGTGCCGGTCATTTACAGTATAGAATGCAATATATAATGCGTAATGTCGTTGCATTCAAATAAAAAGTAATTTACCATCTTTTCCTCTTCCGTTAACACCTTTTTGTCAGACTTAAAAAGCTGAAAAAATGTTATAAACGAGAAATCAAATTTCTTATGATATATTAGATTACAACAAATTGTAGTCTCAATATTCCGCAAGAACTTTTTCAATTTTAATCACTCAAATTTCATGTTGTTTTTAAATGATTGCCCGTTCAATTCACTACAAACTCTATTTTGTCAATGATCAATGTTTTAAGTTTAGCATTTTTATTTTATTTTGAACATGAATTATCATTGCATAGTATCCAAGTGACAAAAATTATAAAAAATATTCCTTTCCAAAACGTCGACAAGTGAAAGATTCAAGAGTTAGCTATGTTCGACTGACTTTTGATTAGTAAATCTTTATCGTACACTATCTTATTTTAACATACTTTACTATCCATGACTAGAAAGAGTACAATTCAGAGTTCAGAAAAACTTACTTTAATACATTTCAATGTGCGAAAAAACGTGAGAAAAAGGCTAGAAATTTATGAAAAAGCCACTATTGAAAGTTGGCTATATGGAAACTTGGCAGTTATTTATATAATTTTCTACCTTGGCATCTTGAAAGATTCCATTAGGTTTAGTGCAATTGCGACTGAAACACCCTTAACTTTGTTTAACATGATTAATTCCATTAGGATCTTTGTAGAAAATTGTACGAGAAACCATTTGAAAATAAAATTAAGTCTAAGTGATTAAAATTAAAAAGTTCTTGCAGAAATACTGGAACCATGATCGATTGTAGACCACTCGATATACATCTTCAAGTGGTTTTAAACCTTTTGAACAAGGTAACAAACGTATATTACAATTAAAATATAAAGTGTTTATAGCAAACATTTCAAACAACTCTGTTTCAGCTTGTTCATGATTGTTTTGTTTTTTCATACAAAAATCTAATGTGTATAATTTTTAATATGGTAAATTTAAATTAATAAAACTAAGACAACGAAAAATTTATATTATTAGTTACTTATTATAGAGCAATATAATTTGTTATATTCATTGATCGTCGTTCATTATACAAGTTTGGCATATTCTTCTCTCGAGCGTCGTGTAGGGCAGGCGTATTTAATTAAGCTTACTTGTTAGTTCATCTTCTTACCAAGAATAATTGTAATTAGATAATAAAACAAAAGAAAATCAATAAATTTATGTTAATTTTGTTGAAAAGAAATTGATCTGTTCTTGCTGACAATAGCAAACCAAATGGCATATAGCCCATCAGCTTGAGAAGTTGGACGCGCAAAGCATAAAATGAATACAAACAGTGATACAATAGCTGCAACCTCAAAAAAAGAACAACAACAGCATTCTAAACAGAAATCAAAACTACCCTCGTTGATTATGCAAGGAGTAACATCAACATATTAGAGGATGAACAAAACAATTGCATTATAATTGCTAAATGTGAAACGTTTTGATATACAATCAAATCGTAAAAAAGGGTCATGATCTCTTTGCACTACTATCAATGTAAGCAAAGTTTTGAAATGTTAGT